TACCACTAACTCTGCCTCTTGAACTGGTACCACCTTCTTTCAGGTAAATCACTGAGAGCAGTGAAACATGCAAATTCTTTTTGCAAAGAAATTATCTGTTATTTGTCTAATTTTTTTTTTGTATCTTTTTTTTTCCCTCCAGGAGTGGAAAATATACTGAAAATATAAATGGAACTCTGCCATCTTACCAGCCAGTGCAAGAGGAGGAGCCGCAGAAAAAACAGCCAGGTAAAACAGGCTTCATGGTCTCATTCTTAATATATAGGGCTGTCTCTGAAGGACACTGAAACATTTAGGAAGAGGAAGACATAACAAGTCCCTACGGGGATTCATTTCAGAAGCTAGATCCATTTTAACTTGATGGTAGGAAGGTTGTTAAGGGGATGTAGTCAGCCTATTACATCTAATAAAATCGAGAAGGCAGAGAAAGGGACTATTATTAGCTGTAGGAATGGGAAAGTGTGCTGATTAATAATGTATTTTGGAAAAGAAATATTTCATGGCCAAATACTGCATTGCTACAGCAATTTTTTTTGCAGTTGAATGTTACTGGCATTACTTTGTTCTGGGTGTTTTGGAAACAAGAGGTCCCAATGTTGCTTAATTTTCTGAAAACAAGGTGCAATTTGAACACAAAGTAAATTCTGCTGTTGGCTCCATGATCCTGCCAGCAAAGGTCTGTTATGTGGGGAGCATGAGACACAATTTGTCTCTCTATTTAGAAAGATGGTTGCTGGGAGCCAAAACCATTCCTTTGTATCTCTTTTTGTACTGCAGTAACTGAGCTCAATCCTATTTTGTTTTCTGCTGTTTTTAACTCCAAGAGATCTTACAGGGAATAGCCTTTAAGACTAAACTCTTTCTTCTGCGTGTTTAATTTTTCTTGCACAGTGGAAAACCTTTTTAACAGAAGATTGTCTTCTGTTAGCTTTTAAAAACTGTTCCTTTGTATTTCCTCTAAAATTAAAGCCATTTTCTTTGTCAGTTTTAAATTGCAACATTTTTTCAGTTGGAATAGACTTAGGAAAATTTAAAGGTATTTTTGAAAAGAAAAATAATACTAGAAAAATGCAAGATGCTTACATTATCCATGACCTAACTAACTGAACTTGCCAAAAAGGAAATATCTTTCTTTAGTGGCGCAACTGAGGTACTTGTTTGAGAGCAATGTTTTTGCACAGGGCAGAAATAACTACTTTTGCTTATTTTAGTTACATTTGAGGACAAAAGGAAAGCAAACTATGAGAGGGGAAATATGGAGCTGGAAAAACGCCGTCAGGTCCTGTTGGAGCAGCAACAAAGAGAGGCAGAACGTAAGGCTCAGAAAGAACGAGAAGAACAAGAACGAAGAGAGAGGGAACGTCAGGAACAGGAACGGAAGAAACAACTTGAAATGGAAAGGCAGCTGGAGAGACAACGAGAATTGGAAAGACAAAGGGAAGAAGAAAGGAGGAAAGAAATAGAAAGGCGGGAGGTTGTTTTTTGAAATTATTTTTTAATGCTTTAAGGAATATATACATGCATACGACATTCACTTCATGGAACATTCAGGATTTGAGCACTGACTTTGACTCCTTATCCTCGCATGGCTAGTGGCAAGCTCTCTTGTAGAGAGAATGTCATTTCTTTCTGAGAACATTGTGTCTGTTACAAGTGAATGCAGTGTTGGTGTAAGTCAAAGACTTTCAGATAGTTCAAAGGACAGATGAGATTTCTGGGATGCTTCTTAGATTTGTACAAAAAACTCTATTCCAAACAAGATTTTACTGAATTCATAATTGATAATATTTTGCTGTTTGAACTCAAGACAAATTTGCTTCTAGGTGGTATCACACTGCATGCATAAAAATTTCATATTATATGTAGTTCTGTGAAATAATCAAAGAAGCTTGTGTAATATTTCTCAATGAGCTCATTTATGGTCTGTATTCTGAGCTAAAGGGATTTTTTTCTCTGAATTATGCAACTATTTTCAAACAGCTTTTTTCCTTTGGAGTTAGGAGCATGGCATGAAGTGCCACCTCTTAAGAGGGTCACTTTCTCCATTCTTTAATGCCAAAATATGCAAGATCACTTTGAAAACAACAATGCATTGTGTTCCTGTTACACTATCTAAAAGTAGAGCACATTGTATTAAAACATAGTCTCTGGGTTCTGTATCTACATTGTAATTTAAAGTAATGTAACTTCTCCTTAGGCAGCAAAGCAAGAACTTGAGCGCCAGCGACGATTGGAATGGGAGAGAATTCGTCGCCAAGAACTTCTTAATCAACGTAACAGGGAACAAGAAGAAATTGTCAGGTTGACCTCTAAAAAGAAGAGCCTTAATCTTGAATTAGAAGCCCTGGTAAGACACAAATGTTACTGCCCATATGAAGGGAAATGCAGTATTGTAAAGTATGCAAATCTTAGAATATACATTGATGTCCTGCTAGGAGTTCCACTCTGCTTTGGGTGAGCGCTCTAAAGCAGATACATATATATATTTTTTTTCAAAGAATTGATTGTGAGGTAATCTGCCCAAAGGCTTTGTGGAGAACTGTTTTTTTGATGTAGGTGATATAATTTGTCTCTCATTTCTTCCTAGACGGACAAACATCAGCAAATCTCAGGCAGGTTGCAAGATATTCGAAACAAGAAGCAGCTTCGGAAAACTGAGCTGGAGGCTTTAGATAAGAAATGTGATCAAGGAATTATGGAAGTCAAGCAATTACAACAACAGCTGCAGGTACATAACTTTCTGATATGTTTGTAGTTCTCCTTTATTTCCTATTCTGTGCTTCAGTAATGTTGATAATCAGTTTTGATAGGGAGGAATAGTGAATCAGTTTGATTATAGTGCAGAGAGGAAATTGGCGATGCCGTCAACATTGCAGAGGTTTTTTTTTGTGTTGTTAAAGAAATGATTACATATACTACAACAAGTTGATAGTTGAATAAGGACACTAGTCAAAACTTCAGCTTTATTTTTGTGAACTGATACTAGTGACTTCTTTTTAATTATGAGTTCTTTTATAGCTACAAACTCAGATTTTTATGAGGAATGCTTTTCTGTATGCAGACTAAGTTGGTCTTTTGGCTGAGTTACCTTGCAGGTCTTTATTTTATCCTTTTTTTCTGTATTTGAATAGCAAGACATAAATTATTTCAGAATAGTTGACTACAATAAATCATCCTCTACCTTATTTTTATGTAATGCTCCTGCTTGTCAGGGAAACTTCTTTTCATCTTCTTGTGTGTCACAGAAAGTTACTGTTTTTATATTAGATTTGAGGGAGCCAAATGTTCTTATGATAACTGTATAAATAGTAACTTTTTTTTTTTTCCAGCTGTGTTAATGCTTTTTTGGTAAAATAAATAAATAAATAAATAGTTATAAGAGTGTTTATGTTGGGAGTGCAGAAATCATTTTTCCTCTACTCTATAATGATAACTTGCATCCTATGTTTCATTACTGTGAGTTGAGGTTATGTTTGGAAATTCACCCACTTTTACTTAAGTATAAACAATATTAAAAAGCTGTTATGTTTTCTTTAATATCTACAGGAGTACCAGAATAAACTAATCTATTTAGTTCCTGAAAAGCAATCGTTAACTGAAAGAATTAAAAACGTTCAACTTGACAACACTCAGAGTAAGTACCTGCAAATGAATTCTCTTCTGTTGCATTGCTTGCTTTTCTTCACTTGTAGTGTAAAAAAAAAAAAAAAAAAAAGCTGTAGGATACAGGGGTGTTAATCACACCTTCACTTTTTTTTCTATCTTTTCAGTGAGAGCCACCTTGGAATTGCTGCATCTGCATTCCATTATTTCCTTTGTGTTCTAAAAAGGGGCAAACAAATACGTATTTGTGACAAAACAGATTTTGCTCAAAAGTTTACTTATGCAGACTATACAGACCACAGATACTATGATCCTTATTATACCATGTCTTTTTTTTTTTTGTAGTGTAGACTCAAGGGAGTTAATTTATGTAAAATTGACACTGGCCCTTACATCACACTAGAAGTTCCTCTCAAATCACACTAGATTTTTCTGCTTTCAGAAGCTTGCTATGAATTGGTCTAAAAGTATTCTGTATGTATTACATGTGATGTTTGTATGTCTCAGGTAGGTAGGTGTTGGCCTACTTCTTTGTGCTGTATACAAATACGAAGATAAATCAAGGGATATTTGTGAGGAAAGACATTGGGAATGCATTTATAGTAGGAAAAAAACAAAACAATGAAAAAAAAAGTCCTTGTAAAATTGCTTGTCTTTTTTTTTCCTGTCTTGTATCAGGAACAGGGTAGCCAGCAGGACCAGGCAGGTGATTGTCCCCCTTCACTCAGCTCTGGTGAGGCCATGCCTTGAGTACTGTGTTCAATTTTGGGCTCCTTGATACAAGAAGGAGATCAGAGCCCTCGAACATGTCCAGAAAAGGGCTACAAAGCTGGTGAAGGGCCTGGAACACAAGTCCTGTGAGGAACAGCCGAAGGCACAGGGGTAGTTTCATCTGGAGAAGAGGAGGCTCAGGGCAGACCTTATTGCTCTCCACAACTACTTGAAAGGAAGCTGTGGGGAGCTGGGGGTTGGCCTCTTCTCACAGAAAACCAGCAATAAAACTAGAGGAAATGGTCTCAAGTTGTGCTAGGGGAGGTGTAGGTTAGAAATTAGGGGACATTTCTGCTCAGAAAGAGCAGTCAGGCACTGGGACAGGTTGCCCAGGGAAGGTGGTGGAGTCACCAGTCCCTGGGGGTGTTCAAAGAAAAGTTGGATGTGGCGCTTAAGGACATGGTGGTGGGTGACATTGGTGTTAGGGGGTGGTTGGACCAGGTGATCTTGGAGGGCTTTTCCAACCTTAGTGCTTCCTATGATTCTATGCAGGTTCAGGAATTAGTTCAGTGCACAAGAAGTCCTTAGAAAAGGAAGAATTATGCCAAAGACTTAAGGAACAACTAGATGCCCTTGAGAAAGAAACTGCTTCTAAACTTGCTGAAATGGATGTATTTAACAGTCAGCTTAAGGTAAGTGTATTCTCTGAATACATAGTTTTGCAGTGTTGAGCAGTGTCTTTTACTTCTCCATCCAATCAAAAAAATTGGTGGCACTTCCACCAGACTTCCAAAAAGCTCTTCCCAACTTCTAGTGTCACATAAGAATTTCCAAAACTCTTAGAGTACAATAAAAATACATTTAAAACTATTGCTAATGTACTAAAATATCAACATCTTGCTCATCATTGCTTTGCATGAATCACCGATTGCTCATTGTAAACTTTTGCCTTCTAGAACTAATTTGGCTTGAGATACAAACTTTAATCCATTTCTCAGGCTCTTGCAGATTCTGCTCTTACAGGGGTTATATTGGCTAACAATTCTTGAATTGTGGACACTTTAATCGAAAGAATAACAGGGTTTCCTAGTATATTGCAGATCTGGTAACAGGCTTTGGTATTGTTCTGTAAATAAGCACAGGCCATTTAACTGGAGAGTAAGTTAGTAAACGCTGAATGTTGGAAATAAAAGCATTTTTGTTTTTATGATTTGGCAATTCTTGGCTTACCTTAAAATGCATGCAACTGTCAGGTAGGTTAGCTAATATCCACTTCCCAGCTTACTCCTAGTGGCTCTGGTGTGAACTTTGTTCCTAAATAATTCATTTATGCTGGGCCAATGTGAGGGCTCTATGCTCTCTGTTAAAAAGGACACAAAAATCAAAATTTGTAAACATTTTAAGAGTTCCTTGGAAAAAAAAAAAGGCTTCATGTAACACTGGTTACCTGCATTTTTAGTTACTTGTTTACTTGCATGGCTTGCTGTGTTCAGTGGCTGCATCCACAGTTTAGTCTTCCCTAAAATACGTTTTTCAAAATACAGTGCAAAGATTAATTAGCTTTTTATCTGCCTTATCTTACAGTGTGAGAATATGGATGATTCTGTTCTTCAGTGCCTTTTGTCTCTGCTAAGCTGTCTCAACAACCTCTTCCTCTTACTTAAGGTTATTTTCTAATCTTTGGCTCTTTTGCTTTTTAATTATTTCGCAATTTTCCTCTGCTTACCCTTTCTGTTTGGATATATGACTTCTATTAAATACATTTTCATAAAAGAAAATCAGTAGGCTCTTTTTCTTTCTGCTAACTTTTAAATCCTTGTAAAGATTTGCAATTTTGTTATGTGCTTAGAAAGCCAAAGTGCAAAATACTGATAGCCATTTTACCTCTTAATAAGCTATGTTCACCTAGACATTTTTCTTTTAATTAAGATAACATCAACAGAAAGAATACTGTCTTAGATGGAAACAGTGCCTTTTCTCACTTTTCCATCTGTTGCTCTCTACTTGTCTCACCATGCCTATATTCATACATCTTAAGCTGTGAGTCAAGTATACAAATTCTCTTCTGAGTTACAGACTAGAAATAGCATCAATGCCCAGAATATGACACATGGCATGAAAATGCAATGCTTTTAAACCTCCATATTAACCCCGTACTAAAGCTTGCTTACTGTTTTTCCTCAATGCTGCTTTTGTCCTCTGCTGTCAGAAACCTGGCTTTTTTTTCCTCCTCATAAACTATTCTCAGAACTACTCACTGACCTTTCAGTTTTGCAGAAGAGTTTTTCTCTCCTCAAATCAAAGATTTCTGTGTAGAATTAGAAGCATTTTCAGCTGAAAGTGTTTGGGGAAAAATAGTGGTAAATTGATCAGTTTAATTAGTTGTTAGAGACTTTCACTGACAGAGAAATCTTATTACCTTGCCCTTTTCATATAAAATGCACAGTAATTTTTAGGGAACGTGATTATTGGTAGTGGTGCATATCATAGTGGGAATAGATCATTCTTAATTGCTTTATTTGCATTTATGATATCAAATATAAAAAGTCAGGGTATACCTGTTGTATATCAGAAGGATTCCTAATAAAAATAATGTAGTATGTTCGAAATCTTTTGTAATGTGATGAAGACGTTCTGAAGTATTTGTGTTATTGTTTTTTTTTTTCTGCTTTTTTTTTTTTTATTTTATTTTGTAAATTTAGTTATCCCAAAGATTCAGGCTGATGTTTTATGAAGCTGTTCTTAAACAGAGAGAGATGGAATAGGAATTGAAGGATATGTTCAAAAGAAAAGTTCAGAAATACAGCAAAACTCTAGCCTGAGTTAGTGACCTTAGGCTATAGCTTCCTGCAGTGGTAAGCCTACTCTGTCAGAGTTATTTCAATCTTCCATTTGATGGTACCAATTTGTAGTTGTAATTTACAATGGTGAATGAAGCGGAAAAAAAGAAAGCATGGTGAAGCTGAAGACCCTTTTTAAGGGATATATTCTTAGCTTTATGGCATTGCATTGGCTTTCAGTTGGAGCCTGCCTCCTTGAGAAATGTGTTTTGTGATTATTTATAATATGCTTCATTGTCTTCTTTGTTCTTAAATAATGTTGCGCTTGGACATTAAGTTTTATATTTTCCTGTTTCCTGTCACATTTGCCATTTCCAGCAGGTGTGTGACTGAAGGGCTCATTGAAAGCCTAAGTTACATAAAAGGCTTTGCAAACCTGGCAGCTATTTTTATACTTTGTTTGACTTTCTTTACAGTGACTTTCAAGGACTATTACAACTTCATATTACTTTGTTCATTTCTATGGACCAAGTAATACTTTGATTCACAAAACATTAAAATGCCTTGATGCTGTTCTCGAAAGCTTGATTTTATTTCTTTTGATGTACTTTATTGTGTTTATTTATTAGGACCTGAGAGAAAGTTACAGCACACAGCAATTAGCCTTGGAGCAGCTCAACAAGATCAAACAGGACAAAATAAGAGAGGTAGAAAAAAGAAGAGCTGAACTTGCACAGAAAAAGCGACTGGAAGATGAGGCTGCAAGGTACCATGTCTAAAGTCTGTCAGCATTGCAGTTTTTAAAGCAAAAAAAAATGCCATGGTGACTTTAAGACACTGACTGTAATAAACAGGAAGTGTAATTGGTAAAAATACATCCTGGTTAGTTGCCTTAGAGAAAACATTTTATATGGATTATCACGGAGACAAGGTGTTCTGAATGTCCTCTTTCCAATCTGTTTTTATCATCATTTTCATAGAATTTGTAAACTCAGGTTTGGTAGGTAAATAAACCAAGTAATTACTCTTGCTATTAAGATTTTAGCTTCTTTAATAAATAATACTCACGCCTCTAAAATTCCTCATATTTTCTACCATGTTTTGCTAGCCTTGTACCTATCTCCTTACAAGCCCTTCTGACTAATTCCTAGTTTTTCTGTCATGTGTGTTCAGACAACTGTGAGATAGATACTTAAGATAATAGGAAGTGCATTGACTTCCTAACTCATATGTTAATCTTGAAAGATGGATTTTAAATTTTGTTCCTTTTTAGAAAAACAAAAAGAAAATACAAATACGTTTTTACAATGCTCTCCTGCTTATTGCACAGAGAGAAAAGTCGTCAATATTATAGACATGGTTTTACTTAGAAGTGCAGATGATTATTCTTGCAATGACTTGAAAAATAAAAATTCATTCTCACTCTCCTTTTCCCCTTTTTAAGGAAAGCAAAACGGGAGAAGGAGAACCGATGGCAGGAAAATATCCGAAGGGAAGAGGAGGAGAAAAAGAAGCGGTTAGAGGAAGAAAGAATGCAAGGAAAAGTTCAAGAAAAGCTGAAAGCTGAAGAAGCAGTTGCACTGATGAGAGACAGGGAAAACAAACAGCTTCATGAAGAGGAGGACAAAAATAGGCAAGCTGCAATCTTGAAAGAAACGGAACAAAGACAGAGGCAACTGGAAGAAGATAAAAGAAAGCAAGAGCAAATTGCAAAAGAAGCTGAGGAGAGGCGTAAGAAGAACGAAGAAATAAAGAAGATGAAAGAAGTGACCAACTCTCAAGAGACAGAAAAACGCACTTCTAAATTAAACATACCCGAAAAGTTTGCAGATCTGTTGAAACCAACAGAGGGTAAAAGTCTTAAGCCACCCTGGAAAAATGAAGGTAATTGTAGCCTGTTTAGTTATTGCTTTAATGATTCCTATTTTCCTGAGTATCATTTCATTCTTTAGATGTAATTAGTGTTAGCGTAACACTGGCAGACGTATTGTCTAAAATATTGTAATATGAATAAAAAACAATGTTCTATGATGTTAGTTAGATATGAATCAACCTATTAATTTAGGTTGTCTTTTATCAGTTATCACCACCTGTGGCCCTGAAGACAAATATTCCAGGGATCATGGCTAACAAATTGTGGATGTTGGAAACAGTAATATTTTAGCTTTTTCATAAGGCCAGAACTTTCTGTGATTAAAGCAGAATGCTAACATGGAGTTTTGTCAGGTGATGAGTGGTTGGACTCAGTGACTTATTAATATTGAAATTCACTTTACTTCTGCCTTATTCAATACATCTTATTAACACAAAAAAAAAAAAAAAAAACACTAAACTTTAATTGTAGGACTTTGAAAAATGCTGGTTTAACATTTTCACTAAAAGCAGTTTTGCTTAATCCATCATTCATTAGTTCTTGTAAGTTTTCATTAGCTCTTTTTATCACTGAATTAAACAGGAACCAAGTTAGCACAGCATTGAAAGATATTTGCACAACTTATCTAGACCTTGTAAAACATTCACTGTTAAGCAGCATCACTCACAGACTTTGAGAAAGCAGAAGCAAAGAAAACAGAAATTACGGTATTTTGCTTTGTGAGGTTTTCAAGTAAAATCTTCACAGCACTGCTGAACACTTGTTGGAGCAGTGTTATCTTTTTGACTTGAAAATTAAATTTGTGTTAGACGAGACTATATTAAAGTACTGGCCTACATTTACATTTAGTGATTAGCATGTTAAACCCCTGCGCTGTGTGCATCCCATCAGCATGTTACCTAGTGATCTCCTCCGATACTTGCTTAGTGTCTTCAAGGCAAGAACTGTTCTCTGCTTATTATATTCATACTTGTTGCTTAGAATGGTAGAGCTCTAAGTGCTTTCAGCTGCAGTAACCAGTTTTCTTATCCTTTCAGGCAATGCAATTAGTACCTCAGAGTCTAGGAATTCGGTTGCCTTTGTAAATTACAGAGCTTTATATCCATTTGAAGCAAGGAATCATGATGAGATGAGCTTTAATACCGGCGATATAATTCAGGTAAGATTTGCCATTCATATTTCACTTGTGAGAAAACAACCCCTTCCTCTGATCCTAAGATACACGAAGTCCTAGATGGCAGAAGCATTAGGTTGATAAATTTTAGATTTAATTACAATTTAAACTTGATCACTTCTTTTTAACAGGTGAAATTAGGATTAGTTCAGATAAAATCTTTATTTGTATTTTAGAAGTGTCGAGATTTTGTCTGGTATAACAGTAGTGAACTCTAAATATAAACTTTCTAAAATTGGATCAGGAATGATCTAGTTGCAGCAGTTTTTTGTACATTTAGATGCTGGCCTCTAAGTGTCTGCTTGAAATATGAGAGTAGTAAATAGAGGCATGACTGGCTACATAAGAAGACAAGATTATTAATGGCATTTGAAACAGGCCAGTTTCTTAACAAGTTGATGTGAAAGGTTCCTCTGAATCTATGTACCATTTTCTAATGTATGGTTAACATAATCTGTGTCTTGTTGGTATTTCCTTCATAAAGGCTCTCTCAGGCAGATGCCCATAGCAGAGTATTCTGCGTCCATTCTGTGTAGTATTTTTCTGTATTTGTGGAGTATGATGCCTGTAATGTTTGAGAGGGATTATAAGACCAGAAATGTTTTCTGGTTTCTCGGTTGAAATCTGCTTTATTTCATTTAATTACATTATTTGTTAGCGTAAACAATTTTGAAAGCCTGTGCGGTCAGGTAGACTTGTGAAAACCAATTTACAGCTGTGGTGATGCAGTTAATACATGTGTATCTAATGGATAAATGCATATGGATCTCCTTCACTCAGATTATAATGATACAGAGAGGTGATAGGGGAGAATTCAGAAAGCAGTGAATTACAGAATATCGAAACCTTTAGGTATTAACCTTCAGTTTGATAGAGTTAAATAATTTATTTGCATTTTCACGCCAGTGAGGTACAGACAAGGAAATTAAAGTTGTTGTTTTGGCTTCCTTTTCAGATAAAATTAACTGTCTCATTTAACTGCTGATATCCTGTTTTAGAAATATGCCAGCAGCCGCCGCCTCCTCTTCTAACCTCAAGCTCAACTAAGCTAACTAGCTGTTAGTATTCGATTAGCTGCTAATTTTAGCTTGCTTTTTCTTTCTATAGCTTTGACTATATGCAGCATAGCGGAGGTTTCAGTACTGATAGGAATGTGTAATACAAATGCTCTACTCTTAATCATTACAGTAAATAACAGAATTTTTGGGTGTGTTTTGTGTGCAGTTAATTGCAGATCCAGCACATCCTTCCTGCAGTCTTTTACAGAAAACCAATGAGAAATGTGGTTGCACTTCCCCACTTAAGACCACCACTGTTCTCTAAGCAGAGCTGTACCAGTTTGTTGTGGTGCTGAGCCAGCCAGCCACTGCTTCTTGGTCTTGTGTTCAATGAGATGTGACACAATGCATCATAGATTTTGGCAAGCTG